CGCGCAGCAGGCGCCGAAGAAGAAGAAGAAGATGCTGCACGAGCATCATGTTTTGCGTAGGTCCGGCGCGGATCTCTTGGATCGGCGCTGGTCCCCTCTGACGGCACCTCCGGCGCCGCCCGGAGGGAAGTCCAGGGTCGATGCAAGGAGTTTCCGCGGACTTCCGAAGGTTTTTGCATCCGGAGGTTGACAGAAACACCTCTCAGGAAGACAACTGCCAGGTTGGGAGGATGGGGTTGGGAGAATGAGGATATCCTCACCCGTAGGCGGCCGAAGGTATCGTTCATCGCATCCACACGCTATTGCTCATACCCCTTCATCGTCCCAGAGTCTGCTTCTTTATTGCTTGGGCCATAGCACGCGTGATGCCCCCCCCCCCGCCCTCCCTCCACATGACGTAACGCTCCAGCTCCAGTGCGCCCCCGGCACTGCCGCCGTGCGCATAGGGATCCGCAGAGGAACCCGAGTAGGGATCCGCGTAGGCATCCGCACAGAAATCCGCATAGGGATCCGCATGGGGATCGCATAGATACATCCATCGGGATCCGCATAGGGATCCGCATTGGGATTCCCAGGGATCCTTGTAGAGATCCGCATAGGGATCTGCATAGGGATACGCATAGGGATCCGCGTGGGTATCCGCATAGGGACCCCAAGAGGCAATCGCATCGGGATCCGAATAGGGATCCGCATAGGGATCCGCATGGCAAGTCGCATAGGCGTCCGCATAGGGATCCGCATAGGCATCCACATAGGGATCCGCATATGGATGCGCATAGGGATCCCCAGAGGGGTCCTCATAGGGATCCGCATAGAGATCCGCGTAGGGGCGGTGGTCGCGGGCAAGTTGCGGTGCTCTCAGGTACTTCTGGTGTTCGTAGGAGAGAGAGCAACAATAGGAGGAGAAGGACGACGACGACGATGAGGATGGAGGAGGGCGGTAAGGAGCATATTTCTTATACGTCACGTGGAGGCCACGACGCCTTCGCAGACATGTACTCGCCACAACTCCTCGTCGCTCTCTCTCCGTTATCGGTCGTCGTCGTCGTCGTCGTCGTTCGTCCTCGTCGTGCGCGCGGACGCTGTGGTTGCGCGAGAACCGAACGGCGGGGGGGGTCGTTGCATTATGCCCCCCGCCGCCCCCCACCCAATAACGCCCGTTATCGCCGCGAACAAAGAATCGCGTTTCTCAGCACGATAGTTGTTCTCGACCTTGCCAGGTCGACTAGCGAATTCCCTTATTCCGGTTCTCAAGTGGGCGGCATTTGTGGCGGCATGCGCCCGGGTCTTCTTCAATCACCGAGCGCGTTCCACTATTCGCAAAGTGCCTAATCACCGAGCGCGTTCCACTATTCGCAAAGTGCCTACTCGCCAACGTCTGCTTCGACGTCATGTTTCGTTGATCCCCCGCGGCGGATCCAGGCCAATTGCGCGTCGTTGCTTTGCGAGTAGTGGAACAAGCTCGTCTATTCACTAAAGGGTTGTTTGTTGAAGTGGGCTTCTGTCCATCCCCGATGTACGTGTATGCAGATTGCGGAAGCCTTATGACGACGACGACGACGACGACGACGACGACGACGACGACGACAACGTCGACTACGACGACGACGACGGCGACGGCGACGGGGACGGCGACGGTGACGGCGACGGCGACCGCGGCGGCGGAGGCGGCGACGGCGGCGGCTGAGGCGACAAAAAGCATTCAAGGGCCTTAGGATCATCACTGAAGATGCCATCTGGGGGTTCTTCTGGGGTGGTCCTAAGGCTCTTGGGTTAAGTCGGGCATGTTCCTCCACAGGAGGAATCTTCAAAAACAGCAAAAAGTAATATGGGGACGATTCTTCGTGCACTTCTGATTATTTTTGGGTACTTCTTGACACTTGTTTGCAATGTCCGTTCCAAACTCCGCCTGTAGATCATTTCCCTTTCAGAATCCGCCTGTAGGAAGACCCTCTGTTTGTTCTCCCTCCCAAAATCCGCTTGCGGGAGGACGTGCCCGACTCAAACCTGTACAGTGGGGGCGCGTGCCAAGAAACCAGTTGGATTTTGCCAGGGTGCCCTGGGTTTCTTGGATTTTGATGGGCTCCCAATCAGATCTTGACGATTTTCGATGGACACATGTGGATTTTCACTGAACAGATCGCGTATTTCAGGGTTGGGTTTCTTGCGGAGGTTTCTTGTGGCCGAGCCCCCACTGTAGGGGCTCTGCTGGGGTGCTCTTGGGGCTCTCTTGGGCCTCTTGGGGCTTCGGGCTTCCTTTCTTCCTCAGGCGACGGGCGTGGTCTCCGACCCCTCCGCGCTGGCCGCCATGAGCCTGACGCTGGAGCCGCCGCCGAAGCGGGCGAGGGTGGACCACCAGCCGGCGCGGGCCGCGCCTGCTGGCGGCGTCGATCCGGCCAAGGATCCTCCTCCTCCTCCTGCTCCTCCTCCTCCTCCTCCTCCCCCTCCTCCTCCTCCTTGTCTCTTTCCTCCTCCTCCTCCTCCTCCTCCTCCTCCACCTCCTCCTCCTCCTCCTCGTGAACAGCGGCTCGGCCTCCATCAACGAGGCCAGGGCCCCCGCTCACCCGTCCTTCGACACCCACGACAAGAACAAGGCAGCCATCGCCGCCGCGCGACGCGCCCTGAGGCTTCCTCCCTGCCTCGCAGGCGGCGCGGGGCCGCGTCGGCCGTGAAGAGATAGACGTCCGCAAGTGGACGTTCGCTCCCCCTCCTCCTCCTCCTCCTCCTCCTCCTCCTCCTCCTCCTCGACCCAAGCAGCGGCGAAGCGTCCTGGCGTGTCTACAGGCCCAGCAACGAATGTTTAAAGAACTTTGTGTGGCTTCTGGAGGACATGTTCTTAGAACACTTCTGGCTGGGGCCGTCTTGTTCTTAGCACCTCAGGCTTTGTTCTAAGAGCCTTGTTCTTGTTCTCAGAACACTTGTGGGTTCTAGCACAATTCCATGGTAGGCCTACAGGAATGCCGGGACGATCGGTCCCTGTTCAAACGACCGAAATGGGTACGGAAAGGATGGGCGCAAAGACCGACACCAGTTCTTGTTCATTTTGAACAGGCTTCGCTGTCTGCCGCCGCGGCTTGTGTCCACTTGAGACAGGAAACCGCTTGCCCAGCAGCGGCCGCTGTCGGTTTGGGACAACACCTGGTTGTTGGGATCCGCGCTGGGCCCCTATGGGGCCGCCCCTGGCGCGCTCCGCGCGCCAGGGAGGGGGGTCCAGCGCAGATTTAAGAAATCCACGCGGAGCGGCAAAAACAATATCTTGATGCCGTGTTTTGCTCTCCTAAAGGACCTGCTGGTGGAGCAAGTGAAGATATTCCAGCAGCTCGGCGACCTGCAGAAAGAGGCCCCCGTCTCGTCGTCATCGCCCTTGTCGTCGTCCTGACCGTCGTCGCCCTCGTCCTCGTCGTCCTCGTCGTCCTCGTCGCCCTCGTCGTCCTCGTCCTGGTCATCGCCCTCGTCCTCGTCCTCGCCCGCGTCGTCGTCGTCCGCGTCGTCGCCCTCATGTCCTGCTGGACGGACTGCGCCGGGGCCCCGCCGGGCGAGCCCAGAAGCGAGGATACGTAAGCCGTTCCAGGGCGCCCCGGGAGCGGTGTGGAACGGCCACGGCGCCCGTGAGCGTCCTCCAGCTCGGGAGCCTTGGGACGGGGGTCGATGCAGCCCAGAGAGGCCTCGGGGCACACTCGGCTCGGCGCGCGCCTACGTCGCCCGCCCCGCACGCGAGGCTGATCGCGCCCCGCGGGAGGCTCTCCGCGCTGGGCGCCGCCCTTCTCCCGGCGGGGCGGCGCGCGCGCGCGAAGATGCCCGCGCAGTCGGGTGGCAAGGGAGCGGGGGCGTGCGTTCGCCGTGGCCCTCGCTCCGGGCGCGGCCTTGCGCCGGAAGTGGTCGAGGCTCAAGAGACGGGGGTCGATGCAAACGGCGATCATCCAGAGCGTGGGATCTTGCAGGATCCTACAGAGCCACGGGCGCATTGAGCTGGCGCTTGGGCGCAGGATCTTGCAGCTATCTTGCAAAGCCTGACCGACCCGGGTTTGGATTGACCCTGGTCAGTAGATCCCCGACCAGTCCCGCCAGTTCTCATAGATTTTTGGTTTGCCCCGATCCGATGTTGTCCCATTCTGGTTGCGTCTTACCTCGGAGCCCAGAAGTCTAAATCTCCCAAATGGGTCCGAGTAGATGGGATCGGTGGATCGCGCCGCATCGCCGTTGCATCGGGGATGCAACTCGATGTGGAGCTCGACTGCCCCACGTTGGCGTCGCCGATGCATCGCCGACGTCGCCGATGCATCGTCGATGTATCGGCGATGCATCGGCGATGCGGTGCGATCCTCCGACTTCATCCACTCAGACGCATTCTGAGAGGCCTTCAAGAGGGGCGCACGAGCGCAAGCGCCGGACGTGCGCTGGCGCTGGTCGGGTGTTGCGAGAAGTGCCCCTGGCCCAAGGCGCCCCCAGGATCTCCCAAGGAGGCTCCCATGGCCTCCAGAGCACCCCATCACGAGGCCCAGAGGGCCACAGGGGCTTCAAAGTTTAGCGAAAGCCTGGGGGGGGCACCCTGGGCCAGGGTCCCCTTGAGCAGCCCCCGAGCTGGAGCCCCGCACCTCACGCCCCCCTTGCCTGGCGTGCGAAGCGCGCCAGGTCCGGCAGGTGGTCCTGCGCCTGCAGGGGGCTGCCGTCCGCACGTGCCCAGGGCTCACGCTGGTGTGCCTTGCTGACCTGACCTTAAGTCGGGCACGTTTCTCTAGAGAAGGGATCTTCAAACATTGCCCAACAGTTGTCAGGGGATGCTTGATGTTTTGGCAAGTTTTGATCATCGTTTACACATGTTTTGCAGATTTGTGGTGTGTCATCCAAAATCCGCCTGAAGAGGGACATGCCCGACCTAAGCCTAACCTTATGATGTTCTAACCGACTTCAGCCTTGATCGCCAGAATTTCGAGCGCCAGGAAAATACCTAAATTCGACGGTGTTCAAGTGTCGGGCCCTGGGAGGCGATATTCGTTCGAAACTTCGCTAGCGTGTCGGGTAGACACTGTTTGGGTGCTCAATTATTTCTGGGATGTGGTCCTTAAGTACAATGGGGACAACGTAAGCCTAACCGAAGGGCTCTTCCTCCTTCTTGCCCTCGTCCACGTCGTTGTCCTTGTCTCTTCGAGTAACAGGCAGGGCTCAGCTCGACCCCTCCGAGCCGATTCGATTCGATTTCGATGGATTCCGATTCCGATTCGATTCCGCTTCGGATTCCGATGTGGTTTCCGATTTCTCAACGGATGCCTTATTGGCCTTCCGATTTCCGCCGATTCGACTCATCCCGACTTGGCTGCCGATTTCCGCCGATCCAGTTCATTTCGGTCGCTGATCCGACTTATCGATTTGATTTTTTGGGCTTTCCTGAGCAAGGCAACGACTTGAGCGTAATCAAACGTTCGGAGTTCCGCGCGGATGCCCGGGTCGGCGCTGGACCCCACCGGGGGGCACACCCGGCGCCGCCCGCGGCGCTCTCCGACGACCGACGGCGGAGCGGTCCAGCGCCGACCCACGAGGTCCGTGCCTGCTCGTCGTGCGTGCTCTCGCTCTGTGCAGGCCCGCCCCAGTTGGGCCGGAGCGGATGCCAAAAGAGCGCTTCGCATCGCCGATGCATCGGCGATGCTGCGCGGTCTGTGAGCCTGCGTCTCTTCTTCATCCCGACGTCGCCGACGCATCGCCGACGCATCGGCGATCCGTCGCGCTCCTGCGACCCCATCTGCTCGGACCCCACCTGGAGACTGTTTAGGGTCTGGCGATAACCCGGGTTATCTGGCTTGCCCCCCCTCCCCCCCCAGGATAACCTGACCTTGCCGGTTGTGCAGGTCCGCGGGAGGGGGGGGCGCGGGCATATGCAGAGCTGCCCACAGCGCGAAGGTTAGGTTATCGGTTGGACCCCTTCTCCTCCCCCCCCCCCAGGATAACCTGGGTTATCGCCGATTCCAAAAAGCGGTCTCCTGGGTGGCCTCCACTCTGCTGGAGGCCTGGTGGGAGCACTGTGACCTCAACCTGGGGGGCATCAGAGACCCCTCGCGCCACGACGCGTCGGTCCTACAGAACTTCGTCATAGCCTACGGCGTCTACAAGGCCGTCGCGGGGAGGACGTCGCAGGATGCGGACCCGCTGAAGGCGTCCCTCGTCGCCCGCATCAAGCAGTATCAGAGGGTGGACAAGTCCCAGCTGGAGGCATCCGATCGCCGAGTTCTGGGCGACGAGTGGAACACACACGCACACACACACACACACGCACACACACACACACGCACGCACGCACACACACACACACACACACACACACACACACACGCACACACACACACACACGCACGCAGCACATACACGCACACATACGCACACACACACAACATGCACACACAGACGCACACACGCACACACACAGACACACACACACACACGCACACACACAGACACGCACGCACGCACGCACACACACACACACACGCACACACACACACACACATACACACACACACGCACACACGCACACAAGCACACACATACGCACGCACACATACGCACACACACACAACATGCACACACAGACGCACACACGCACACACACAGACACACACACACACACGCACACACACAGACACGCACGCACGCACGCACACACACACACACACGCACACACACACACACACATACACACACACACGCACACACGCACACAAGCACACACATACGCACGCACACATACGCACACACACACAACATGCACACACAGACGCACACACGCACACACACAGACACACACACACATAATCCAAGGTCACTGGCCCGTGCGGCCCTGGGATATGGGCTCGAGATTCCTGGGCGGAGGATGCGTACGAGCTCCTGCCCCATTCACATGCGTACGAGCTCCTGCCCCATTCACATTCACACAAGTCACCGTTGACATGCGCTGTCGAAGGTCCGCGCGCATCTCCGTGGCTCGGCGCCAGAAACCTCCCGCCACGCCTCCCGGTGCCCCCCTGGCGCCGCCTCCCCGGCACGCCGGGGAGGGGCTGCTGGGAGAGGGGGGGCCCGGCGTGCCGACCCGAGCGGTGGTGCGCGCACCGCCGAGGGCCTGAGCGCAATGTCGCTCTTGCGGGCCCTCCAGGCGCCTGTTTTTCTTTATCCAGGCAAGCTTACTTGCATGGCGTTCGCCCCCCCCCCCCCCCCCTCCTCGCCCCTCTTCAATCGAACACGAGCGTGCAAGTGCCTTTAGACTTGCGTGATTTCCGCACGTCGAATTGTTTTCGGCTTGCTTCAGACTCAGCCCCCCCCCGTCCATGCAAGTAAACTTGCCCGAATCTAAAGAAAAACAGGCTCCAGGCCAGCTCTTGCGGGCCCTCCATTGCCAGCCTGGAACATATCCCTATCCCTATGCTGGGCACCCTCTCATCACGATGCCAATCTTAGGGATTCCCTTATTTTTGGAGGGCGGATCCCGAAGATGGTCGTCGCCTTTTGGCGTGTCAATCTTAGGGACAGGGATGCGTTCGAGGCTGGTAACTCCAGGCATGGTATGGCTTCTGTGGCGAGATCAGGGACCCCGGTCGGCACACCGTGGCGGAGCTCCAGGAGTTCATCAGGGTGTGCGGCGTGCCCTGACGTGGCTGGACCGACTCTGGCAGACCGGTCGACACCAAAGACCATCCCCCTCTCCCCCATCCTTCTCCCGCGTCGCTCTTCAACGGGCCCGTCTGTCCCCTGGAGGAGTTCTCCCGAGGTCTTAGGAGGTCCGCGGAGGTCTTCGGATGCCCACGGAAGCCAACACGGGCCAAGAGCGCTGCCGCCTGTGCTCGATCTTCTTATCCTTGCTGCTCCTTCAGCCTGTTTCGCCCCTCCTCCCCTCACACCTGACGTCGCATTCTTCTCGAGACGTGGACCCCTGGCGCCATCTCGCTCCCTTCTTGCCTCGGGCTGCTTTCGCATCCTTCGCCTGCCCTGGGGCCCGAAGTTGGCCTCCAGAGTCAGGAGGGGAAAACACACACAGACACAATTAATCGTCGACCCCCAGGAAAATATAGGAAAATATGGGGGGGGAAGACAAAAACCCAGAACATGTGGGGAAAGATTAGGAATCTTGGTATTTGTGTGTATTTATTTGTGTGTCCCTGGGCCCCTTCACAGAAGCCGCAATTGACGGAAACCTGGCCGTCACAGTTTTGGAGGTGCCAGGTTCTGAGTGTCGTCTTTCCCTTGACCCCCGACGTCGTGATTTTCTCAGAACGTCGACCCCACAGGTCTCGACCCATATTCCCCTGGACCAGTTGTTCATCCTGGCTCGTGTTTTGACTGCCCCCAGGCCTGGTATGGGTATGGTCCCCCCAGAAAATGAAGATAGGTAAAACCCTCCATCATTATTTTTTCATACAGTCGGACCGAGGTAGAAGATCGAGATCGGTTCGGGGTGGGTTCCCCAGTGTTCTTCGTGCTTCTTGGACGTTCTTGCGCATCCTAGGGTGGATACCCTCGGATGTTCTGTATGTTTTGGCCGGCGGAGGGTCGCATGTTCTTGAAGGATGCTCTCCTGTCCTGGGTCCGATCGTAGCTCGGGGGGGTCTGGGGTCTTCCCCTCCCAGCCTCCACCCGTCATCCCCTTCTCGCTGTCATGCTCCCGGATGTCCCCCCGGAGGCCTCTCGGGCCCAGGGGCAGCTCAGGAGGGAAGAAAACACACAGACACAATAATTAATCGTCGACCCCCAAGAAAATATAGGAAAATATTGGAATTGGGCGGGAAGACAAAAGCCCAGAAAACATGGGAAGATAGGGGGAACCTTTTTAATCTGTGTGTATTTATTTGTGTGTCTCAGGGCCCCTTCAGCAGCGAGAAACGTCCCCGGCAGCCTCGACCATCCTCCCACCTCTTACCCCCCCCGCTCCCTGCTCGCAGCGCGTGAGCACGCGAGCGCTTCCTCGTGAGCCTCAAGTCGGGCCCATGCCCCCCCCACAAGAGGAGCGCTCAAACGCGGTCACGTCATCGTCCGCCGATGGTTTTTTGTCTGCTATGTTTGATCATTGCTGCACTCTGGTCCCGCACGTTTTGATGACTTATTTTCTCAGAGCGTGAGTTGCCTGCCCCGCTTTCGCTTCCGGGCAAAACCGGGTCATACCATACGCCTCCTCGTCAAGCGGCCTGACCAGTACATGCCGTAGTGTGGCATCGCTTGGTATCTCTTGGAAGCGAGGGTGGTCAAAAGCGAGGTAGGTTTGTTTGCCCCATTTTTCTTTCAAAATCCACCTGTAGGAGGACGTGCCCGACAGCACAAGCCATACGTCGTCCGACGCACGGGAAAGGCGTCAAACCCGGGCAGCCACAGGTGCAGGATGGCGAAGCGCTGCGCCGGCGCAACAGAGAAAGAAGAGGAGGAGGAGGAGGAGGAGGAGGAGGAGGAGGAGGAGGAGGAGGAGGAGGTAGGAGGAGGGATCAAAAGCAGGAGGAGGAGGAGGAGGAGGAAGAGGAGGAGGAGGAGGAATTCACCTGATACACTCGAGATTAATCAGAAGAGCCCTGTTTGAAAGGCCAGCGCAGTTGGGCCAAGGCTCCGCTTTGAAGAGGAATTGCGTTGCAATGTTTCTGGCGCGTCTTCAGGAGCGCGAGACATCTGATCTTGCTGTTCAGCGAAGCGTCCAGTGATATTCTACTTTCGGACACAAACTTACATTTGTTGCCATGAACTTTGAAGAATGTTCAAGGATAGCCCCATACAAAAAGGGCCGCCCTGCAGCCGCGCCATGCTACACGTGGTGAAATTATGGGTCTCTAGAGGTCACGAATCTGGAGCGACAGACCCACTTTGGCGACAAAGCCATGGCTCGCAACGTTCCGCTCAGTCAACGAATGCGCGTGGCCCTAAGGCGAGAGTCACCTTTCTGTGAACTTGCGGAAACACATAAACACAAACAAACCTGCATCCCAGAAGCTTGCGCACATGTTGAAGACGAGTTTGCGCGGCACCAGGGCGAAAACCGCATGTACAAGACGATCCCCTCCGGTCTTGAAGCTGCTGCGGAGTGCTGAGAACGGATTCGTTGGCTTACGCCGCATCGCCGACCCCTTTGGGGCGGCAGTACGAGTGAAAAGCGGAGTTCGCGGACCGCGCGCGATGGCTGGGGAATCCTGGGGTCTCGGCTTCTTGAAATTCCGTGGGGGACGGTCGGCGCATCGCTGCTCTGCTTTTGGGCGTCTCTCTGGGGCCCGTCTTTTTGGTGGCGTGCGGGGCTCCATCAGGGGCCTTTTTCAGGAGGCTGCTCTGCAGATTCTCGCGGCCTTAATTTGGGGTCTCTTGGGGGCCTCACGGGGCCTGTCCCAGGTCTCCCACGTCCCCCCCCCCGGACAGGAGGTTGCTTCGCAGTTGTTCGTGGCCTGTTGGGGGTCTCTTTGGGGGCCTCACAGGGCCTGTCCCATGTCTCCCACGTCCTCCCCCCCCCGGACAGGAGGTTGCTTCGCAGTTGTTCGTGGCCTTTTCGGGGCCTCTTGGGGGCCTCATGGGGCCTGTCCCAGCTAGGTCTCCCGCGTTCTCCCCCCGGACAGGCCCGGGGGTCGTCGGGGGCCCCGCTGGGTGGCGCCCGGCCAGAAGTGTCGAGCGTGGACCCCGCCGCTTGCGACGAGGGGCCTCCCGAAGGCCCATGAAGGGGCGGAGAGCGCCCCAACAACTACGATCCTCAAGCCTCGAGCCTCGATCCACCCCTCCTCCTCCTCCTCCTCCTCCTCCTCCTCCTCCTCCTCCTCCTCCTCCTCCTCCACCCCGTGCTCCTCTCTTCGCGAAGGGGTGGCACCGCCCAGGGAGGTCGACCTTCATCCTGGCCCCGAAGACGGCCCCCGGAGGCTGAACTCGAGGAGGAGCCTCTGGAGGTCGAGAGCGTATACGACAATCTACGAATCCTCGGCCGGATGCAGCTCGGAGAACGAATGCGACTGGACCCCGGGAAGGGTCCGGGGGGGCCATGTTGAACGGCTTCTGCGCTGGAAAAACAATTTGTAACAGATTTTTAGGATTTTCGTTTTTGTCGTTGTTTTCGTCGTCGACGGCCCGCCTCCGGGTCCCGGGGGCTTTCAAGAACAGGCCCCGGGTGAGAAGCTGCACCGGATGGACCCTGGCCGGAGTCCGGGGAACGATGTTGAGCAAATGTTAGTTGGGGGAGTGGAGGAGGAGGAGGAGGAGGAGGAGGAGGAGGAGGAGGAGAGGCGTCCTGGCAGCACTTTTGACGCTTCTGGTGTGCCATGTTGGGGCTTTGGGGGGACTCTTGTGGGCCTCTCGGGGCCGTGTGCTCATAATCTTCATTCGGGTTCCCCCTCAGACCCTCCTCTTGAGACCGTCCCGGGGCCCTCGGTGGCTTCTGGGGCCCTCTTGGGGCCCTCTTGGGCCGTCTTGGAGTTTCTTGGGTTGTTGTGGGCCTCGTGAACGGCCAAGAGGCGAACGTACTAAACAAATACGTTTTCCTTCCGGAATGGGACGGTTTTTGCTTTTTGCGGGGCCTCTTGGGACGCCTCCTGGTGACTTCTTCGCGCGTCTAGGGGGCCGTTGGAGCCGTCTCGAGGCAATCTCTGGCGTCTTGGAGCGATTTCCTGGCGATTCGTAGCCCTCTTGGACCGTCGGGGGGGGCCTTTTGGGACCCTCTTGGCTCATTTTGGGGCCCTCGTGGGGCCGTCCATGGGCCCTTCGGGGCCTCTAATTACGTTTTCCATCGGGAATGGGGATTTTCCGTGTTCCTTGACGGCCTCTTGGGACGCCTCCTGGTGGCGTATTGGCCGTCTTGGGGGCCTCTGAGGCCGTCTGGAGGCAATCTTGAGCGTCTTGGAGCGATCTCTCGACGACTCGTAGCCCTCTTTGGACCGTCCAGGAGGCCTCTTGGGACCCTCTTGACTCATTTTTGGGCCCTCTTGGGGCAGTTGTGGTGGTCTCTGGGACCCTCTTGAAGCGGCCCTCTCAGGCTGTCTTGGAGCCCTCTTGGGGGCCTCTTGGGGCTGTCTGGGGGTGGTCTTCGAAGGCTTCTTGGGCCGTTGTGGGCCTCGCGAATGGCCAGGAGGCGAATGTTCTAAACATATACGTCGGGAACCGGACGATTGGAGAGGCCTGACGGCCGGTGCCGCCGACCCTGATCGAAAGGGCTAGGAGTGGGGGGAGGAAGCGGAGGATGAGGAGGAGGAGGAGGAGAAGGAGGAAGAGCAGGAGGAGGAGGAGGAGGAGGAGGCGAAGGAGGAGGAGGAGGAGGAGGAAGAGGAGGAGGAGGAGGAGGAGGAGGAGGAGGAGGAGGAAGTGCATCCTTTGTGTGCCCGCTCGAAGAAAGTGCGCCCGGGAGTGTGATATTCTGACTTGGGACGTGCTCCCGGAAGAGGAAGAAGTGCATCTCGGGCGTGCCCGCTCGAGGAAAATGCGCCCTAGGGGGTGGTATTTTGACTCGGGGCCGCTCCCCGGGACGCCTTGCGGAGGAGGAGGAGGAGGAGGAGGAGGAGGAGGAGGAGGAGAAGGAGAGAGGAGCAGGAGGAGGAGGAGGAAAAGAAGGAGGATGAGGACCGGGGCGTGCCCGCTCGAGGAAAGTGCGCCCCGGCGGGCGTCGTATCTGCCCCGGCCCCCCCCCCCTCCCCCTCCCCCCCCCCCCCCCCTCCCCCCCCCCCTGCGGGGAAGGGATCAAAGGGAAGGGGCTTCCCTTCGACTCCACTACGACGTCGTTTAATTTCGCTTTGGACAGCGCGCTTGAGGAGGAGAGCCCTGGGAGGGGGAGAACGGAGACGACGGAGACGACGAGTCGAACGGAGAAGCCCTTCACACACGCCGACAGGGTCGGCGGATTTCTGCTTCTTGAGGGCCTCTTGGTGGCTCGGGGCGTCTTAGGGGCCTTTGGGGCCGTGCGGAGGCAGTCTCGGACGCCTGGGAGCGACCTCTCGGCGACTCGAGGCCCTCTGGGACCGTCCGGGGTCCGGGGGTCCTTTTGGGACCCTCTTGGCCCGTTTTGGGCCCCCCTGAGGCTCCAAGGGCACGGCTGACGCATTCCCCCTCCCCCCCTTCCATACCTATCGGAACGGACTCCTGGGGGAGAGGTTTTGGGGAGGGGGGATCATTTCACACGCCGTGACCCCAAGGGATCGGCGGATTTGCGCGGCGCTGACGTGGGAACGCTATTTGGAAATTTGGAAACTACTTGTGCCCCGTCGCCGCGCACGATGCAACACTTGTGACAACTGCACGCGGCGCTAAGGCGATATCCACATCTTGGAAAAAAAGGAGCCTCCTTCCATGATTGACGCTGTTGCGAGCTTTAAGACGACTGACCGCATACTGCAAAGGAGCCGAGAGTTTGGAAAAACGAGCCTCTTTGCATTATTGACGCTGTTGCGAACTTTCAGACGACCGACCGCATACTGCAGAGGAGCCGAGACTTGTCAGAGCATGTTGGTGCGCGCGGCGGCGAGGCGAGAGAGGCGCGTTCTGAAAACCACCCCTTGCATCCTCGAAGCTGGGGCAAACCGTAAAAACACGAGTGCAACGCGCAGCGCCAAGACGAGGGCCGCAGCTTGAAGACCATCCCCCCTCTCCTCCCTCCTCCCTCCTCCTCCTCCTCTTCCTTCTCCTCCTCCTCCTCCTCCTCCTCCTTCCCCTTAACATCCTCCTCCTCCTCCTCCTCCTCCTCCCTCTCCTCCTCCTCCTCCTCCTCCTCCTCCTCCTCCTCCTCCTTTCTCCTTCCTCCTCCTCCTTCATCCCTGCAGCTGCTGCAGACTGTTGGCGCGACTGTGCGCGGCGCCCCCGCGGGAGCCTGCTTTTGAAAAGCGGCCGGTGTGGCAGACTGATAGCTGCTGCAGATGTTCAGCTTCAGGGTCGCAGATGGCGAGGAAGTCTCAGGCGACACGCCAGGCCCGCCCCACTGACACGTTTGGGGGCGCGACAGGGAGGAGTTGTTCGTGACAAACGGGCATGGAGGAGGAGGAGGAGGAGGAGGAGGAGGAGGAGGAGGAGGAGGAGGAGGAGGAAAGGAGGAAACGAAGGCTTCAATACGCGCAGAAACCGAAATCAAGGGAGTGTAGCTATCCTTGGCCCCACGCTGGATGGGAGATTGCTCCGCGTTTTCTTGTCTGTGGAGTTCCCCAAGTGGTGGCGAGTGAATCGAAGATGCGAAAGTCCTCCTCCTCCTCCTCCTCCTCCTCCTCCTCCATCCTCCTCTCCTCCTCCTCCGCCTCCTCCTCCTATTCCTCTCCTCCTCCTTCTCCTCCCTCCTCCTCCTCCCTCCTCCTCCTCCTCCTCCTCCTCTCCTCCTTCCTCCTCCTCCTCCTCCTCCTCCTCCTCCTCTCCTCCCCTCCTCCTCCTCCTCCTCCCTCCTCCTCCTCCTCCTCCTCCTCCTCCTCCTCCTCATCCTCCTCCTCCTCCTTCCTTTTCCTCCTCCTCCTCCTCCTCCTCCTCCTCCTCCTCCTCCTCCTCCTCCTCCTCCCTCCTCCTCGCGGCGGCCTCGGCTGTCCCAGCGGCGTCGGGGGCGCGCCGGCGGCCCCGAAGTTCCAGCCACGGGGCCACGGCCCTCCGTCGAGCAGTGGCGAGGCGTCATGGCTTGCCTACACGTAGGCTTCAGTCGGGCCTGTCCCTCTACAGGGGGAGCATTCAGCAACAGTTAAGCAATGCTCGGGGGACTATTTTTCGACCATTTTTGTATGATTTTGCACATGTTTGGGGTATGTTTCATGTTTCGTCCAAAAACCGCCTGTAGGGGGGCACGCCCGACCTAAACGTAGGCCCACCAGAGAATGTTCCAAGAACTCGTTTGTGGTCTGCGCGAGATGTTCTGAGAGCACTTCCAGCCGAGGTTGCCTCATGTTATCGCATCGGGTATATGGTATCGGGGCATTGTTCTTGTTTGTTTGACATTTGTGGGGTTCCAAGACCATGACGGTCGGTGGCAGCTCAAGGGGCGGATGTGAGTCGGCCATTCGCAGAGGGTGGGCTTTTGGGGGAGAAGGCTCATTAGATCGAAGAAGCAAAAACTTCATAAACATAAACTTTAAGCGGTCCACGCGGATTTGTTGGATCGGCGCCTGGGGCCCCCGGCGGCGCCTCCAGAGCCGCCCCTGGCGCGCTCATTGCGCCAGGGAGGGGGCTCCAGCGCGATCCAAGAAATCCGCGCCAAGAACCAGAAGTTTATGTGTATGCCGTTTCTCCTTCCTCTAGGTCACGCGCGGATGGGGGCTGGTTGGGGGAGGAGGGACAGCTCCCTAGAGGCTCAACGAAGAACAAGGGCCATAAGCAACAACTTTTTAGCACTCCGCGCGGATTTCTTGGATCGACGCCTGGGGCCCCCTGGCGGCGCCTCCGGCGCCGCCCCTGGCGCGCTCCGCAGCGCGGATCCAAGAAATCCGCGCGGAGCGCCAAAAGTTTATGCTTATGTCGTTTTCTCTTCCTCTAGGGCACGCGCAGATGGGGGCTTCGGGGAGGGGGGAAGGCTTCTTAGAGGCACCCCTGCTCCTTAGAAGGCGCGGGCCTTGCCTGCAGTTGTATGGCCCGCGCCTTCTGAGAAGCCGCCTCCTTCTCAGAAGCCTCCCCCCATACCTCTACTACCCCCCATGCGCGCCGCCAATGTGAGCAGGGTGATGTGACGCGGGATGTGGTGGGCGGATGGGGATCGTTGAGTCCCTCCCGAACCCGTGTGCGCCTCTGAGAGGCCTCCCGGAGCCGGCTTGGGCGTCATGGAGCTCTCCTGGGCCGTTTCGGACCCTCTTGGGCTCCGGGTGCAGGCCCCGTGGAGCGCTCCTGGAGCCCTCCTGGGAGGCGTGCAGGCCGCGCAGGACGAAAACCATCTCCGAAGCGCCTCGCCCACGAGTCGTCCGGCAGAGCCGTCGCGCTGCGAGCCGGAGAGCGAGTGCTCCGAACGCTGGCGAGCGAGCTGCTCGCACTTGCCCTCCAGGGCCTCTGGCCTTCGACCGGGCCCGGTCCGGCTCGCACAGCTCACGCGCTGCCGCCCCGCCCGCCTCGGCACACCCTCGCGCGCCTCGTGCCCCCCGTGGGGAACTCCACCGGCGGCGCCGCCGGCGGGCACCGTTCGCATGCCGCCGCCCCGCCCATCTCGGCGTACCCTTCACACGTTGCGGTCGGCCCCCAGAGGGAGCTCCACCACCGAGGGACCCAGCGGCCCCGTTCGCACGCCGCCGCCCCGCCCATCTGCGCACGCCCCTCGCACGCTTCGTGGCCCCAGGGGGAGCTCCACCGAAGGCCCCAGCAGCGCCGTGCGCGTGCGGCCGCCTCGCCCATGTCGGCACCCCCCTCGCTCGTGTCCGGGCCCCATGGGGAGGTCCGCCTAGGGCTCCAGCGGGTGCGTCCACATTCGGCTGTCCCACCAGGTGTGGCACATCCCTCACGCGCATCGTTGCCCCACCGGCAGCTCTGCCTAAAGCCGCAGTGGGTGCGTCCGCCTGCGCCCCCCGATCATTTTGGCGCACCCCTCACACCTTTCGTACATATCCCTGCGTCCATGTGTTCCCTGACAGTTTTGGCGCATCCCTCACACGCTTCTTAGCCCCATGGGGAAGTCCACCCAAGGCCCTAGCAGGTGCGTCCACATGAAGCTCCGCACCAATTGTGGCATACCCCTCACACGCTTCGTGGCCCCGTAGGGAGAAGGCTCCGGCGGGTGCGTCCACACGCGGCTCCCTGCCGACTTCGGAGCACCTCTCACGCGTTTCTTGGCCTCACGAGGGGGGCCCGCCACCTTCGTCTCGCATGCCTTGCGACACTCGTACTTGCATACATGTTAGCATCGCTGCACAGTTTCTCCTTCCCAGTGGGAAACTTGCTTGTTCAGCCAGTGATGTCTCTGTCGGCTTGGGACAGAAGATGTTGTTGTGCATGGGTTTGCTGCCCCCGTGCCAGCCTTCAAAACGCACCGTCTCCCTCCCTCCTCCCTCCTCCCTCCCTCCCTCCCTCCCTCCCTTCTCGTGCTTCATGTCCGCATCCTTCTTCCCCCCCCCTCTCTCTCCCTGGTCCCTCCTCCCGCTTCCTCCTTCCTCCTCCTCCCGTCCTGCCTCTCGGGCCCCCCGCCGCCCTGCCTCCCTCTCCTCGTGCCCGTCCTTCCCCACCCCTCAGCGCCCCCTACCCTCAAGTCGGGCCTGTCCCTCCACAGCGGGAATTTTCAAAAATAGTCAAAAAGTACTCTGGGGACTATTTTTCTTACTTCTGATTATTTGTTTGCATTCTTGGGGTATTTTTCTGGCTCGTCCAAAAACCGCCTGTAGGGGGACACGCCCGACCTAACCCTACCCGCCTCTGCCCTCCTCTCCGAGGGCCTCTGGAGGCTCCCCTGAGGCCTCCGGGATGCTTCCCCACAGGCCCTGGACCAGAAACGCTCAGCGTCCTCGATCCCCGGGTCCTCCCTCCCACTCCCTCCCTCGGGGAACACTTCGTTGGGGCCAGGACGGGGATGAATCCGTTCCAGAGCGTTCCGGAGCGCTCTCAGAGCTCTCAGGGACGCTCGGAGGAGGCCGCGGCGCCCGAAACATCCTCCAGAGCCGCCGGATCTTAGAGACTCATGATCTATATTCACCCGATGTTATCCTCGTCCTGGCTTCGTCGTGCAGTCAACCCGCATGGTAAGGATGGGCACCCTTCCCAGGGGTACCCTTGCACCCTTGCCTCCTCGGCCCATCCTTGGCCTCTCTCGCTGGCCGCGCCCCCCTCGCAGGGTGTCGACAGGGCCTCACAAGGCCCTTGCATCCTTGCCGCGCGTCCTTCTGATGCAGTCAGGGCGCTGAAGAAGGAACCCTTCTCGTTGGGGAGGGGCTCGGTGTTCCTTGATTATTTTACAGCTTGGCTTGGGTTTTCCTTAGGTTTTCGATGGGAAATCGAAGCTTAACTTGTGGGATCAAGGGGCCTCGTTCCTTAATGTAAGGTTCCTTGGGTCAACGCCCCGACTGTACGGGCTGACTGTATCCTCGTCCTGGCTTCGTCGTCTCTGGGTCGCCTGCAGGGGGCGCGGAGGCCGCCACGGCCCGCGCGCCGCGGTCTGTGCCCGCGAGCCGCCTCCCTCTCCGGGAGGGGGCGGGGCGCGAGGCGGCGCGAGGCTGCGCGGCCCCCCGGGCAAGCCGTGCGCGGTCGAGCCCGCCTCGCTCCGCCATGCTCCTCCTCCTCGCTCCGCCACGCTCCTCCTCGCTCCTCGCTCCTCCTCGCTTCTCGCTCCTCCTCCTCGCTCCGCCACGCTCCTCCTCGCTCCTCGCTCCTCCTCCTCCTCCTCCTCCTCCGCATCCTCCTTCAGCTCCTTCTGATATCGGCCCCATGGTCACAACGGACCGTGGCCGCTCAGAGGACGAAGTCCAGGTGATCGCCGAGCTCGTCCTCCGTCACCTCGTCGTAAGGGCTGTTGTGGTAGCAACCGACGGAGTCCTCCTCGCGGGAGTGGTCCCTTGGCTGCTGGTCTCGTTCCCGTCGCCGTTGTCGCGCAGGTCGAACGAGCCCTTGCGTCTGGCTGGCTGCTTCGCGCCGCGGCCTGCTGCGTCTCGCAGGCTGCCTCGCGCCGCCGCCGTAGTCGTGGTGGTAGCCGTCGGAGTCCTCCTGGTAGGAGTGGTCCTGGGGCTGCTCGCGGTGTCTTCTTCGGTCTGGCACTGGCCGTAGGTGTCGTCGTGCTCGGACGCTTCGCCCTCGTCGGCCTCGAACCAGTTGACGCTGGCTGTGACGCCAGCGAGAATCGCCTCGATGCGGGCTGGGATGGGGAATTCGTCGGCGACCATGGAGGCGAATGTTGCCACGTTGGGTGGGCAAATGCCTGCCGCCTGGAGTGTTGCAATGGCCGCTGCTCGCCACTGCGCACCCCTTCTCGCCGCTGCTCCAATGGCCGCAACTGCCACTGCCGTCTCCGTCTGCTTTCGCACCCGGGTGCCCCCTCCGAGAGTAGCCGCAGCCGCACGTGTAGCTGGTGACGTCTTGGTGCCCAGCCGTTCGCCCGTTGCCGCTTCCTGTTCTCGCACACTGGAGTCCCAGGCCGTAGCTGATGACATCTGCGCGCACAGACTCGCGGCACCTCCCGCTGCCACTGCCGTCTCCTCTCGCGCACGAGTGTGCCCCCCCGTTGCTGATGACGTGGGGTGTCCCTGCTGAGCGCCAATGCCCGCTAGCGCTGCATCTTCTCACACGCGTGTGTCTCTTCTTGTAGCTGGCATCGGCAGGACGCCCTTCCTTGCAGCTCTTTGTTTCTCGCTTTGCACACGCTCAGGTTCATCAGGCGTCTCTCGCGCGCTCAGGTTCTGGGTTGTGTCTTCGCCCTCCCGCATCACGGTGTGTTGTTGCACGCATGTGCCCCAGAAGTTGATGACGTCCCTTCTCGCCAGCATGTATCCCAGATTGTAGCTGATGACGCGTTGCCTCCCATCCTCGCTGCGCTGCATGATGCAAGTGCCTCTTCTCTGTTTTGCCTGCTCGCACGCATGAGTCCCTTGCCGTAGCCAATGATGCCTGGGCGTCCAGCCTCGTGCTCGTGCCCGCTGCCACTGCCGTCTCCTCTCGCACACGAGCTTCCCCACCCGTTGCTGATGACGTCGGGTGTCTCTGCTGCACGCCACTGCCCACTCGCGCTGCCTCTTCTCGCGCTCGTCTGTCCCTGGCTGTAGCTGGCATCAGCTGGACGCCTTTCGTTGCAGCACTGTGTTTCTGTGCTGCGCACGCTCAGGCTCGTCAGGCATTTCTCGCGCGCAGTCCTGCAGCGCCTCTCGCGACCAAGGCCCGCCGTCGCAGCTGACGGCGTCGGGCTCCAGCTTCGCTTCCCGTCTCTCGCGCGGCGGTCTCGTCGTGGCCTCTGCGCTGTAGCTGACGGCGTGGGGCTCTAGCTTCGCATCCAGCTTCTCACACTGTGGTTTCGTCGTGGCCTCTGCATTGTAGCCTACGGCGTCGGGCTCGTGCGTCGGCTCCCGCTTCTCGCACGGTGGCTTCGCCCTGACCTCTGCACCGTAGCTGACGGCATCGGGCTCGTGCCTCCCGTTTCTCGCAAGGCGACTTCGTCGTAGCCTCTGTATTGTAGCTGTCGGTTTCGGGCTCTTGCTTCGTCTCCCGCATCTCGCAGGGTGGCTTTGCCGTGGCCTCTGCACTGTAGCTGACGTCGTAGGCTCTAGCTTCGCCTCCAGTTTTTCGCACGGTGTCTTCGCCATGGCCTCTGCAGTGTAGCTGACGGCATTGGCCTCGTGTTTCGCCTCCCGCGTCTCGCCAGGTGGCTTCGCTGTGGCCTCTGCACTGTAGCTGAGGGCATTGGCCTCGTGCTTCATCTCCCGCTTCTCGCAAGGTGGCTTCCCAGTGGCCTCTGCGCTGTAGTTGTCGGCGTCGTTCTCTAGCTTCGCCTCCAGCTTCTCACACCGTGTTTTCGTCGTGGCCTCTGCCCTGCAGCTAACGGATTCGGGCTCGTGCTTCGTCTCCCGCTTCTCGCAAGGTGGCGTTTCCGTGGGGCTGCACCAGTGCTTGCCGCCATGTCTCTCTGCCTTCACTCTTCTTCCTTGATGGAGATCGACCCATTCTTCTTCAAGGCTATGTCCGGCGTCTGGGGTCCAGCGTTACCAGCCGCTCCGTGCAGGGGTGAGGAGGTCGAAGAGGGCCTGCCTGAAGGCCACCAGCAGATGCCTCCTCATGGACCTGCGTCTAGCTTGGGACTGCATGATGTCTTGTGTGGGATGCCGCTGAGGGTCCCTCAGGGCACACATGTCTTCCGTCACCAAGCAGCCCTGCATCGGCGCGGCCGCCAATCGGGCCCCGGGGGGGAGGCTGTCAGGGCACGGAGTGTCCCACCCCCCGGGGGCGCCGAGCGGCTCGCGTGAACCCGGCCTCCTGGGCGGCCGATCGCAGGCGAGGCGCGAAGGATCGGTCGACCGACCCCGACGCGACCCAGATCGGGCCCCCGCCCAGCAGAGGCCAGATGGGCTTCCCTCCTCCTCCTCCTCCTCCTCCTCCTCCTCCTCCTCCTTCTCCTGCTCCTCCGCCCGCTCCTCCTCGCTCCTCCTCGCTCCTCCTCGCTCCTCCTCGCTCCTCCTTGCTCCTCCGCGCTCCTCCTCGCTCCTCCTCGCTCCTCCTCGCTCCTCCTCGCTCTCCTGCTCCTCTCATCCTCCTCTTCCCTCCTCCTCCTCTTCCTCCTCGTCCTCCGCGACTCCTCCTCGCTCATCCTCCTCTTCCCTCCTCCCCTCCTCCTCCCTCCATCCACCCTCCCCCTCCTCTTCCCTCCTCCCTCCTTCCCCCAGCCCGCCCCCGCGCAGGCGCCTGGTGCCGGACCTGGCGGTCCTCGTCTGGTCCTGCTCGATGGCTGGCGCCGGGCTCGCAGGGCGGGGAGGAGGAGGAGGAGGGGAAGGAGGAGGGGGAGGAGGAGGACGGGGAGGAGGAGGGGGAGGAGGAGGAGGAGGAGGAGGAGGAGGAGGAGGAGGAGGAGGAGGAGGAGGAGGAGGAGGAGGGGGAGGAGGAGGAGGAGGAGGAGGAGGAGGAAAAAGAGGAGGAGGAGGATCAGGAGAGCGCACGTATTTCGAAACATGCATACAAAGCAGGTTTGACGATCGGTTGAGAAATGTATTGGAGAGGCCTGACGGCCGGTGCCGCCGACCCTGATCGAAAAGACTAGGAGTGGGGGGAGGAAGCGGAGGATGAGGAGGAGGAGGAGGAGGAGGAGGAGGAGGAGGAGGAGCAGGAGGAGGAGGAGAAGGAGGAGGAGGAGGAGGAGGAAGAGGAGGAGAGGAGGAGGAAGAGAAGGAGGAGGAGGAGGAGGAGGAGGAGCAAGTGCATCCTTTGTGTGGCCGCTCGAAGAAAGTGCGCCCCGGGAGTGTGATATTCTGACTTGGGACGTGCTCCTGGAAGAGGAAGAAGTGCATCTCGGGCGTACCCGCTCGAGGAAAATGCGCCCCAGGGGGGTGGTATTTTGACT